GCAGGACTTTCTTAAAGAAATGTGTGGGTAGGACATCCAGACAGCAGGAACTGGAGCTTAATTGACTTATAATTTCTTCTTGGGTTTTATAATTAAGTAGATGAAATTGGGTAATTTTTCCTGTATTTGTTTTGTTTGGGCACAGCATTGGTACTGGCTTTAGAGTGGATGTGCAGTTTAATCCTCTGATCTTTTGAATTTTCTCTGAAAAGAAACTGGAAAACTTGTTGCAGGCGACATTAGATTGAAATTCAGGTGGTTACGTCATAGGAGGGTTTGTGAGCCTGTCAACAGTAGCAAATAGAGCTTGAGCATTGTTAAGGTTTTTGTTTATGACATCTGCAAAGAAAGCCTTTCTTGCATGTTTTAGTGTTGTGTGATAGTTACGTAATCTTTCTTTATAGATGTCATAATAAACGTGCAGTTGAGTTTTACGCCATTTCCGTTCGGCCCTACGGCAGAGTTGTCTTGCAGATTTAACTGTTTCTGCATTTCTCCATGGAGATTTCTTCCCTCCAGACACAACCTTCACTTTAATGGGAGCAATGTAACCAATGATATCTGAAAGTTTGCACTGAAAATCATCTATCAACTTATCTACGTCATTATAGCTTAGGGACGAGGAAGAAGAGTAGATTTGAGGATGGCTGCAGCTGGACTGGTACCGGTACCGCACGGCTCCTTCTTAAAGTTTTGCTCAGAGATCCAGGATGATCAGTCTGGATTAATCTAAACATTAATAAACCATCAACATTTCTCAGCAGATCTATATGATGATCAGTCGCTCCCTCTGAATCCTTCCATTGACGATGTTCTCCATCACAGCCAAAGCTCCACAATTACACAGCTCACCTTCGCGCAGCTACTTATATATGTGTGATTGTTTACACACCTTAATCACCTTAAAAATAATCAAACCTGTTTGGAGTTAATCTGCTGATCCAACCCTGTTTTCTTCTTTTAGTGAGAATGAAATTACCTCATGGATGCATGCCATACACTTCAGCGCACAGACCAATGCGTTACATCTTTATGAGACAAAAACTGAGGAAAAGTACTATTTACATTGGAGTGAGGTTTTCACATCTTTTTAATTTTATTGTCTTTATTTTGTGTGTGTATTATGTTATTGTCTGAGGATAAATGTTGTTCAGATTCACTGTTAATATTGAAACAATAAAATGTTAAAATCATGAAAAAACATCGGGTTTGAAACTTCTTGGTCTAAATAACTGAATGTAGTCAGACTTCAGTGTACTTAGGTGAGTTTTGACGCTTTGTAGTTTGATATAGTTCACAGAAAAAAAATTGCATGACTGCCGCAGATTTTCACGTTAGGGAAAAAGTGTGCGTATATTTACACAAACTTTGACGCAAAGTAAATTTTTATACATGCCGACTTGTGCGTAAAATATGGCGCCGCACATTTTTTGTGCGCAAACCGCTTTATGCATGCGGCCCCAGTTCTTTGTATGAGAAATATTTCAGTGTTTTTTTTGGTGTTGAATCCTAAAACATAAAATATGTGTGTGTATAAATGTGTGTGTATGTATATATTAGGGGTTGAACGACTTTATATTAAGGTCGATTACAAGTTCGAGTATCATGTTGTAATCTACAACATGATAAAAGTCAAGTCGACGTTGACTAGTTGCGGTGACATGACATTGACGGAAGGCGCAAGATGCTTCACAACAACTTAGAGGCTTTATCAGCTATATTCACAGCTAATATTGATTAAAAGCCCTGCTTGTACTAAGTCTGTTATGCAAAATTAAAAGAACAAGAAACAGAACATTATCCCGGACTTCTTCGTGAGCAGCTGAGAAAAGTCCGGAGAATAGTTGCACAAAGTGGGTCTGACATATATATATATATATATTTTAAACACCGGCTGATACTGATTATCGCTGGATATCAGTATCCATATAAGTATCGCTGGATACAATGGTGCTTTTGGAACATCACAAACCAAACTTATTATGAACGGATCCCATTTGGCTATAGTTGAATTCAGCACTGCCACCTGCTGCTCCTCTGCCCCGATGCGCAGCAGGACGCTCTGCTGACTCAGCAGCAGCTCTGACTTTGTGGGATGAACCAACATGCAGATGGTGGCAGAGATGGCCTCTATCAGATTCTCAGATTGAAGACTGAACTTTGTTTCCAGATGTTGTTAAACAGTATTTTTAGAAGAGCATAAAACTGCCAGGTTAGAAGCTTCGATACTCAGGGTGACACTGATCAGTTGGATGGATAAAAAAGCCTGACATCATGCAGCATTCTGCATGATGTCAGTTTCTCTCTGGAAAATTATTTACGTTTTTATACAACTTGAACTATCTGAGGAACTTGCCTAGTTTATCTTTCATTTTCTTTGAAAAATCAGTTTTGTCAGGTGATTAGAACTAGTTGACTGGCCCTGAGAAAAGTCATTGCAGAGTAAGGAATCGACTAGTCGAGTAGTTGGTGCAACCCCTAGTGTGTGTATATATAAATATGTATGTGTGTATATATGTATATGTATGTATGTTAACTGTGTTTTTCTCTCTACATATGGACTGTAATATACTGCTGTCATGTTTAGTAGCCTTCTCCTCTGACTGTGTTGCTATTCAACTGACTGACTTGGCAGTTACAAGGGAGAGGGCATTGTCAGCGGCACCCCTGAGAACGTATGGGAATGTCTCAAACCAGATCCCAATGGGCTCCGAGTCAAGTGGGACAGCAACGTCAAAAAGTTTGAGCTTCTTGAACAGATCAAGGAGGTGTGTGTTCTTTCTCACTCAGACTCTCTAATTTTTATAGTCATTTGACTTTTAGGGAAGCATGTGTTTGTAACATTCTTTTCATTTTAAACAAAAGCCAATTCAATTTATTTACGTAGCAACAGTTTACGACAAATATAGCACTTTATAAAAGAAATGATTTCAATTTAATCATGCACACTCTAACTTATGTTATCAAACTGTATAGTAAAATCAATTACTCAGGTTTCCGTGTAGACCCATTCACTTACAGCATCTGCTCTTCCTAGATGAGTGTGAACCCACAGCAAAATATAGCTAACATTGTGTTGTTGACTTTACAGCCATCCCTTATACAGAGCATGCATGTTGTGACAGTGGAGAGGAAAATCTCACTTAATGGCATTTAAATGATTGCTTAATAAATAGGCAGTTTGATTCAGTTTTATTTATATAGCACCAATTAACAATAGATGCCATCTGGAGGCACTTTACAAAAAAAAATTCAATTCAATTACACATAAATTCCAGTGGATACTAGTTATCAAACAGCACAGTATGCTCAATAAATTATTCAAAGTAAATTCAAAAGTTTCTATCTAAGGAAACCCAGAAGAGTCATTGATTTGCAGCATTAACTCCTCCTGGACAAGAACGTAGCGCTTGCATTGTGTTGTTGAATTTGCATCAATCCCATGTACTAAAGTATCCCATCATGTAGCGACAGTGGAGAGGAAAAACTCCTGTTTAACAGGAAGAAATCGTCAGCAGAACCTGGCTTTATACAAGTGGCAATCTTCCACGACAGACTGGGGGTTTGAAAAGACACTCCAGAATTCACAGGAAGAAACGGATGAACTGATGTGGCAACAGTTAGACTTTGTATTTGAATAACTTTGACTATTTATCCAATCTATTTAAGCCAAAGCACATAATGGCAACAACAAATCAATATGTCTGCCAGTTTGTGAGTCCATTTCTTTGTCTTCCATTTTTGTGCAGGATATTTCCATCTGCCGGACAGTCACACCCTCAGCCGCTATGGGTATCATAGCTCCACGTGACTTTGTAGATGTTATTTTAGTTAAGCAATATGAAGATGGCAGTATTTCATCTAATGGTGCGTAATTTAATGTCTTCTTGGTTGTTTAGGGTTTTTTTATTCTTAGTCGTTCTTACTCTGTTGAAATTAGTTACATTTTTGTATATAATGTGTATTGTATATTGATTTTTTTTGTATCTCTTCACAAAGTGCTCAACTCTTGCTCAGATGATGATAGTTCATGCGACGGTCGCCATTTGTGTGTGTGTTGGCAAGATTTTGCAAAAACAAGCATATTTTGTTAGCATTGGTCATAAAGCCATATAATTGTGTCAGTTTGACGTGGATTTTAATCCTTTTTATTTAACATTCAACAGCGACCAATGTGATTCATCCTAGTTGTCCTCCCCATCCTGGCTATGTGAGAGGATTTAACCATGCATGTGGCTGCATTTGTATCCCCATCTCAGGGTGAGATTACCAATATGGACACACACACACATATGTGTAGCTTATTTTATTTTTTTACTTGTTCAATTTCTCTTTCTTTGTGTGAAATAATTTTCAGGGAGCCCAGCAAAACTCAAGTGTCCAGTTTCTTCCAGACAGACCTGGGTGGCCTCCTTCCACGCTCTGTGGTTGACTCATTTTTCCCATCTAGCATGACCGAGTTCTACAGCAACCTGGCCAAAGCTGTAAAATCTCTTAAGGACATTTGAGACAAAGAGCAACCAAGTTTTCCCCCACTGTATTATAAGCCTGGTGGGCTGCCAGGCTTTACTTGCCCCCCACCAGGCCAAGCATTGATGTTTTTCTTACAAAAAAATAATCGCTTTTATATTTTTTTATACCCCACATAAAGCAAAAATAGTAAAGATGCTTTGCTCAGCTCAGCAAAGTATCTTTGTTGGTCTGAGCTTTTCACCAACAGAACAGAATCATTCCTAAAAGGGATTTATGCATTGAATAGGGCATGAAGCTGCCAATGTGCACCATTCGCACCGCTGGCGCCTGTTGGCCGCCTACTGCGCTGCTGCAGCTGAATCTATCAAGTTTACCTCGTCGCAGATTGCGCGCCCTGCATTTCACTCAAACTAGATGTTTTGGCAGGTGTTTTTTTTCTGAGAAGCTTAACCTGCATTTATAACAACCCCCTGTGAGGAATCATGTTTCTTTGGAGAATACTTCAGTAAGGTAGGAGTCAAGTTTGAAAGTCACCACTCTGTTTGCACTAGCTCAATGTGCAACATAAATGTAACCTATAGTTCGACTTTCAGATGTGGGTGCAGTGGAGTGACAATGATATATCTTTGTGTGGCATGTGCGTTTCCATCTCACACATGCTGGCCCAGCGCTGGGCCACATATATTAGCTGCGCTGATAAAGCTTATATATGTGTTCCTCGGTGAGGCAGTGCGATAGTGGTAAAGGCCATGGAGGAGCTGTTGCGTTCTCCTCAGTCATGCAGCATGATGGTCTTTTTGTTCGTTTTCTGTCTTATGCAACCACACAATGCATCAAACTGCACCATATCAAATGCTGTTCCGGTCAGTCAGAAGTGCTGTGCGCAACTGTGCAGAGATCAGAAAAACTCATCTCATAATGCCCGGACTACCAAAACAAAAAGTCTCTGTGGCGCTTATTATAAACTCAACATACACAAACTAGAACAGCTTTGTCTCTACTAGAGCGACAAATTTAATCTCTCCATTTGACCCTCTGTATCCAGCAGAGAGGTGCGGCGTGCAGTGGATTTAGCTCATCATGCAGGGTACTGCATCACTAACGGCATTGCAGAACAGATTTAGTAAAATGTGGGAGAGGGGCATAGTTTAACTGGTTGAGTTTAAAAGCAATCAGTGATAATTGTAATTTGCTGAGATATTTTTGTGATCAAACAGAGCTCAAACTCAAGATTAAACTCAGAATGAGATTGTAGCTATGGTAACAAAATGATCTACCTATGAAGATTGTTCTTTGCATGTCTTCAAAGTAAACTTAGCAGCTCCTTAAAATCTCAGTTAAATGTTAAACAATTTAAAAAGTACAGATAAATTTTAATTTATCTGTGCTGAAAGCATTAAATTTAACAGCATTGTCATTCTCAACCATCAAATGTTAAAATTCTACATCTGTATTTTGTGCTAAAATGTTAACATTTATGGCTCCTCTGGAGATCTTGGGGGGCCTTCAGCAGCTGCTGAGTTCATTCATGCGTTGGGCCGGTTCTAAATATGATCAGTATTTAGTCAGGTATGCAAAAAAATGCATGTTTATTTTATAGTATTTTTTTTTTTGTTTTCAAAATTATAGTTGTGTGTTTAAGTATTGTTGACAATGTCTTCCAAAAACATACAAAATTTGGTAACACTTTGACAGTGTGAATAAGACTGTCATGACACTGTTATAAACATGATATAACGCATGTCATGAACATGAATAAGTCTTCATGAATATTTATGACTGTTGTCATAAAGTGTCATTTGGTAAATTATGACACTTTGAATACAAAGTTGACATTATTCAAAATGTCTTTGACAACTTGACATTAACCAAGAAATCATGATCCGTCATAAATTTGTTATAAAAGTATTACCGATTTCTGACACGAATGCAGCTTGTGAGTGACAGATATCGACAGCAATCGACACTTTGCATTTTCAGTATCTCACGACTCACGAGAGTCGAAATCTGTCGATTGAGGAATCCCAGGAGGGGGGAGTGGAGGTGTCAACGACTCTACTTAGCATAGAATAGCCTAGCATATCCAAAGGCGCTTCAGCAGACCCACGTGGATTCTCAGTCATTGGATGAAAAACAATGACATCACAGTTCATCACTGACATGTGATTGGTTGGTTGATGTGTGCCCATTGAACAGCACTTATGTCTTTATAAATAAACCTCACCCCAATCATTAATATTTTTAATGTTGTATTTTTTTAAAAATAACATAAAAAATAAATGATGTATTAAAATATATTCATTTGATATTGCTTATATGCAACATGTTCATATATCAGGAACATAAGAGGCACATAAGTTTTTTCTTTTCTTTATTTCATTTTATTTTTTTTACTGTTTGCACACAAAACAAGACATAAATGCTTGTCCATTTCAGAATGTTAGGGTTCTGTTAATACAGAACAGACAATCATTATGAGCTACAGGCATCTATTAGTCATTATGAAACTACAGTGAAATTGTTTGGCAACTCCCAGCTTAGTATGCACACATAAGACATTAAAACTAAAAAAAACACATTAATACATTCTTACAAAAAATAAAAACTTTAATGAAAAAGAGAAAACACTTGGAAACAATTGGAAGAAAAAATAATTAAAAGCAGTTGGTAATAAATAGTAAAACATAGTTCAACAAACTCTGAGGCAGATAATTTGCTTTGATGGATTTTAATAAATCACAGTAGTTTAATCATTCAAGGAATTGTGACATCTCTAGATTAGTAATAAATCTTACCTGCATCTTTATTTAGCTACATCCAGATGACTGGCAGTAGGTCCTGGATGCAGCTGGAAAACATTTTTGTGCATTGTCAATACATAGCATAATTACATTATGTACATAAATTGACGCATAAAATATCATCAACATTCTAAAATAGTAGATACACACACACAGTTGCATCTCTGTCCTCATCACGGACATCAGGACGTTCCTGAAGAGTCTGATTGACACAAATGTGACTCCTATTCTGTGGAGTCTGTGGAAATAAATGTAAAATTAAAAAAAATATTGTAGCAAATATATCGTTTTCTCAAAAATACATAAGTTAAAATTATTCTCAACCAACCATTATACAGTCGGGAATCAACACAGTGACTGTAATAATACATACCGACTTCATGACTCCGTCCTCATATCCGTCCTCCATCCGCCATGTTGATCTCTACTGCTTGCCACAGTCTGCCTTGCTGTACTGCGTTATAACAAAATAAATAAAATAACCGGAAGATCAGTTTTCCTTACAAATATGCGAGTGTTCACTATTGCCTAAATGTGAAATCATAACAAAGCACCTCGCCTTGCTGCACGTGCTCGCTATTCATAAAAGCTTTCTTACCATGAGTTCGGCCTTGTTGGACCGCCGCGGTGTCATCTCTTGTTTTCCGCCGGAACAATTGCTTGATATCAAAACGATACTGAAAAGGTAACTCATTGAAATAGGACTTTTTCCACCATTTCACACAACGCACGGGCATTTTCTTTCATGTTGGGTCTCGCAGTAGCACTTGTTAGCACCGGTGCAAATCTTCCTCTGGAGTTTAATGGTGGCTGCCTGACCAACTATGAAAGCGCATTACTGCCACCAACTGGACTGGAGTGTTAAATGAAAGTTGACAGAAGAAAAATACATTCGAAAAGTTATTTTTTCAAAAGTTGCGTGACAGTATATTTTATTTTTATTATAATTAATTGCTAAAATGTTTTTAAATGTATAGATGTTTATTTACTAAATTCTACTTTGAGCTGTCTCCTTTTTAGTTTATAAAGAATATGATTCATAATCCGTGAGTTATATTTAGTGCTTAACTAACAAAACTTTAAAAAAAGAATACAAATGTTTATACCCTATCAGAAGGTATCGCATACTTTCAACCATTTTGTTCTTCAATTTAAACTTGAGAGTTAAGCAACTGAATACTGATAAATCATCTGTAGTTTCTTAAGTCCTGTATTGTGATGTGGAACGGTGTCACTACCACTCCAATATAGCATGACTCTGGGTCTTTAAAGCAATCAGTGAACATTAACATTAGTTTGAATATTATTCACAAAAATACTTTATGTACAATGAACCACTCTGGAACATGTTTTTTTATTATTATTTTTGATTAAGTTGTGCAATTCCTCCCATCACAAGATAAATCTTCAGATAGGAGGAATGTCAAAGTAAGATCACGTTTCACAAAAGTCTATTGTATGTAATCATGCATATTCTTCTTTTATATCATCAATTCAACCAAAACTAAGTTTTTCAGTGCTCCTAACACACATGCAATGTATATTTTAATGGATAACATGGATTGTTTTAATATTCTTTCTCCAAACATACTTCTTTATGGTGAACAGAAGGTAAAAAGGGTTAGCTACAAAATAAATAAGAGTCAAAAGGCGGTGCTCAACAGTTGATTTGCATTTGCATGGCACTCAGCAACTTCATTTAAATACGAAAACCTCTGCTAGGCACAAGGGGAGGGAGGTGATAGGGGAACACAGCATTTTTGACCACTTTTGGCAGTGCTTGACTCTGACAAAAACCTCTTGCCGAAAGCCCTCAATCTCCATGCGCACGGCAGAACAAGGTGTCAATAGCTGCCGAAAATCCCATTTTTCGTCCTGTGGGAAGACTTCAGAGGTATCTTACTTTTGATAGAGTGAAAGAATTATATATAGATAATAGTGTTTTGCACCTCTGCAAGCTTTACTGGCGATTGTAATAGCATAATATAATAAATTTATAATTATATGATAGTTTTATTTTTAAGGTAGCGCTCTTGTCTCAGAAAATCTAAATCAATGTAAGGGAATAACTACAACTTTTTAAGATTTACAAAATCTCAGTTAGCCTTCATAGAGTGGGCTGAACCGCAGTATTATACCAAGCTAATATTAGCTGGCATTTCACTGGTGGACATAAATACAGTATAGTAAAATTTTATTCACAAAATATAAACAATAATATGTTCATCTTACTTGTGAAAAGGTAATGCATCAATATTCCGTCTATTTGATCAAAACAATCTTGCAGTGCTGAGGTGTCTTCCGCTGTTTTGTTTTAGACAAGTAGAAGGGACGACTACTTCAAGATGGCCGCCAAATTTCATGTGTCTGAGCAACCGATGTGGAGTCTATGTTGGGAACTGGGGTTTTGGGTCTTTGTGGGGAGTCTCTTTTGTTTGCTGCTTCCTTCATCATCCACTAGATGCCAAGAGGCTGCTCATACTTGGAGGGTGGGCCGGCTGTCTGGAGTCAGCACACCTGTGATCAATCTACCTCATCATTCTAGGAGTATATGAGGAGCGGCCTGCCAGCACGTCAGTGCCTGAGTGTTTGCCTGTTATGGTACTCTGTGCCCCTCTGAGTCTAGTCTCAGAGTTTCCAATGATTATCTCTTGTAACACCTACCTGTTGCTTTCCTCTCAGGTGATCTTACCCACTGCTTGTTCGAGTCCATCTCCTTCTTAGCTTCAGATTCTCTGACAATTCCTCCTTTCACGGCTGGCTATCAGACCGCTCCTTGCTCCTCTTCACAAGAACTTACCCGTCTACCCTCCACTGCAACCCTCGTCCATCCATTTCCAAAGAGCACCCAGTCAAGACCAAACACTGGAATCACGGTCATCTTCAGAACTCCATGCAAAGACGCCAAATCGCCAGAGATCACAGTACTTCTCCCCCTGGTGGAAACTCGTCTTCCATTTCTCAGAATCCGATCAGTCTGGTTTACCATCAACTTACCTGTTCCCTCCAATTACCCTCAGTGTTCTGACAATCCTGGCTTCCCACCCACAGGACAAGAAGCACACATCTCAGAGTTTAATCTTTGTTCAAAATAAACTTTATTTATCTGATTTCTTAGTCTCCTGTTTTTCTGTACGTGGATCAAAATACTTGAACCCAACATGACAGAACACTCAGGCCAACAGTCAGACCTCACAGAAGCTTTCAGGAGGACTATGGCAGAGCAACACTCACTAATCCAAACCCATGATTCTGTTTTACAAGTTCTTTGTGATAGCCAAACCGAAACAAATCACCATCTTAACGAACTAATTCAGAGGTGTCAAACTCCAGTCCCCAAAGGCCAGTGTCCTGCAGTTTTTAAATGTGCCATAGGTACAATGAATGAAATGGCTTAATTACCTCCTCTTTGTGTAGATAAGTTCTCCAGAGCCTTGCTAATGACCTATTTATTCTATTCAGGTGTGGTGCAGCAGAGACACATCTAAAAGTTGCAGGACACCGGCCCTTGAGGACTAGAGTTTGACACCTCTAATTTGTTACAAAGCTCTCTCCAACAAACCTCCACTTCCGCTTCCTCTCCAGAAACACCGGTCAACTCTATGTCTTCAGATATCCATTTACCTACTCCAGAGAAGTTCTTGGGTGATATTAATCATTGTGGTGGTTTTCTTCAGTGCTCTCTAGTATACAATCATTTCGCTTTTGAAATTACATACGACAGAGCTTTAGATTGGGCAGAAGCAAGATTCCCTACTCCTGCTAATTTTGGTTGCACTTCCCATGACTTTTTGAAGAGGTTTAAGCAGATTTTTAGCCAAGAACCTGATGAAACATCCAATTCCCATGAGTTATGGACAATCAAACAAGAGCAGAGATCGGTGGTAGATTTCGCCATCAATTTTAGAATTAAAGCGGGAGCGTCAGGCTGGAATGTATCTGCTTTAAAAAGTGCATATTTTCAAGCACTCAGCAAATTTTTAAAAGATGAACTAGAAACTCTGGATGAACCTGCAACACTAAAAGGATTAATTAGTTTAACAATTCGGCTAGATAACAGGATATGTGATTGAGCGAAGGAAAGAAATAAGAGGAGTACATCTGTCAGATTGTTGTCTCCTACTACATTTATTCACCTTCGCAGAGCCAGACTGAACTGGAGCCCATGCAACTTGGTCACACACGTTTAACGCCTGAAGCAAGACTGAAGAGAATGACTTCCCGTCTCTGTCTCTACTGTGGTTCACCCGATCACTTCATCGCTCTTTGCCCAGTTCGACCGAAAGCTATAGATGCGAGGAGACTGGCAGGGCACTTGTGTGAAAATAAGACTCCTCACCTTCTGATACCACCTGCCTTGTTCCATAAAGCCCATCTCTCTTCACTTCTCTCTGTCCATTATGATCAAATCTGGGTGTGAACAGAACCTCACTGATTCAACTCTCATTCAACAGATGTCCATAGAAGCAGTTCCACTTACCGTGCCACTCTGTGTCTCCGCCTTGGATGGCAAGGCGCTATCCCAGATCACCCACAAGACTCAGTTAATCATCTCCGGTAACCATAGAGAACAAATCACCTTTTACATATTTCTCACAGTCAACTCACCCTTAGTCTTAGGTTTTGATTGGCTACAGAAACATAATCCCCACAATAACTGGTCTGAAATGCAAAGGGAATCTTGGTCACTTAACTGTTATTCCACTTGTCTCCACTTGGCAGTTCCACCAGGTCCATCCCCAGCAGTCGATAAAGAGCCAAACCCACCTGATCTTATGCTCATCCTAGAGGATTATCATGATTTGGCTCTGGTATTCAGTAAATCAAAACCTCTCTCTCTTCCACCTCATCACCCATGTGACCTTCTTGCAGGAGCCCCGTTACCCACCAGCTGTTTGAATAACAGCTCCCGTCCAGAATGTGAGACCCTGGGAAAATACATAAGACTCTCTCTTCGCAGGCATAATTTGTGCCTCTTTATCTCCTCTTGGTGCTGGATTCTTTTGTGGGGAAGAAAGAAGGCTCATTAAGACCATGCATTGACTACAGAGGTTTAAATCAAATAACTGTCAAAAACAAATACTCTCTGCCTCTTCTCTCCTCAGCTTCAGAACCAGTTCACGGTGCAACAATCTTCACCAATCTTCACCAATCTTGACTTCAGGAACGCATATCAGCAATTCCGCATCAGCAAGGGGGACGAATGGAAGACGTCATTCAAAACACCCATAGGACTCTTCGAGTATCTCGTCATGCCTTTTGGCTTATCCAGTGCTCCTGCATTTTTTCAAGCTCCTGTTAATGATGTGCTGAGAGACTTTCTTAACATTTTTGTATTTGTTAGATGATATTTTGATCTATTCCAAGATCAAAATATCATCTGAATATGATGATATTCAGATGATATCATCTGATGATATTCAGATGATATCATCTGAATATCAGATGATATCAGAAGTTCTTGTGTTCAGCAAGAAGTTCAGCAACTTCTTGCTGAACACAAAAAACATGTCCGCCTCATCCTACAACTCCTTTTGGAGAATAAACTGTATGTCAAAGCTGAGAAATGCAAGTTTCACCGACCATCAGTCACATTCCTGGGTTTCATACTTGAGGGCGGACAGGTAAGACCCACATAGGAAAAAATCAAGGCTGTTTTGGACTGGCCCATTCCTGAAATGCGTAAACAGCTTCAAAAGTTCCTCAGATTTGTCAACTTCTACCGACGATTCATTCGGAACTACAGTTGAACCGCATTACCACTCACAGCTCTTAATTCCAACAAGACACCATTCAGTTGGACACCTGAAGCAGAATGCAACTATGATGTGGGTGATGGAGAACTCCTCACTATTAAACTTGCCTTGGAGGAGTGGCGGCACTGGTTGGAGGGCGCAGAACATCCTGTGCTGGTCTGGACAGACCATAAGAACCTTTCTTACGTCCAATCAGCCAAAAAACTCAACCCCTGTCAATTCCGCTGGTTATTATTATTCTTCATGTTTAATTTGTCCATTTCCTATTGCCCCGGTTCCAGAAATATCAAACCTGAAGCCCTTTCCCGACTCTATTCTCCTGATGACTCACAAAAGGGCCCTGGTGTACAGTTGCCTCAGTTACTTGGGAAATCAAAGATCTCATCCGCCAAGGCCAGGAATCTGAACCTGCTCCTGACTCCATCCCTCACAAGAAGGTCTATGTCCCTACGTCTGTCCGAGCCCGCCTAATTCATTGGATCCACTCTGTTAAATTCTCAGCAACATTGCTTTTGTCAACCGAGGTTCTGGTGGCCCTCGGTACACAAAGATGTTAAAGAATACATCCTCTCCTGTCCTGTCTGTGCAAGAAATAAATCTTATCAATCTCCATCTGGTCTCCTGCAACCCCTTTCCATCCTTAAGCGGCTTTGGTCACATATCTCCATCAACTTTATCTCCGGACTCCCCATATCAAAAGGTATGACCACCATCTTAACCATTGTTGACCTTTTCTCTAAATCATGCCATCTCCTTCCACTCAGAAAACTTCCCACAGCTTTCCAGATTGCTTTACTCCTTGTCAAACATGTTTTCCAACTACATGTCATCCTTCAAGAGATCCCCTCCAACCGTGGTCCACAATTCACATCCCAGGTATGGAAACATTTCTGTTCAGCATTGGAAGCAAAAGTCATACTTACATCTGGTTACCACCCTCAGTCAAATGGAGAAACTGAACGTACGAACCAAGAATTTGAATCCACCCTCAGATGCTTCACTTTCACCAACCCATCTGATTGGAGTCAGTATTTCCCCTGGGCTGAGTATGCACATAATTCTCACATTTCTGCAGCTACTGGTTTCTCCCTTTTCAAAGTTTCCCTAGGTTATCAACCACCACTGTTCCCTTCAGATGAAAAAGAAATCTCCATAACTTCAGTTCAACACCACATCTGCCACTGCAAGAATGTCTGGAACAGAACCATCGTGGTGATGGTTCTGTCCTCAATCACACCGCAGAACAGAACCAACACTATAATGACCATAAGAGAACACCTGCTCCACAGTACTCACCCGGACAAAATGTTTGGCTTTCTGCATGTGACATTCCACTTAAATCTATGTAGAAGATACTCTCCCCCAGGTTCATAGGTTCATATGAAATTGAAAAGGTCATCAGTCCCACAGCAGGTCCGCCTTTGTCTCCCATCATCTCTTCGTGTACATCCCACGTTCCCAAGTCAAACCCATTCAGACCCGCACATTTACCTGTTGCTTTTCTCTCAGGTGTTTCCTTGTGGCGCCTTGGATTTTACCCACTGTGTAGCCCAAGTTCCTTGCATTCTAGTTTCCTCTCGTAATGCCGTGGATCTTACCCACTGGTTGCCTGAGTCCATCTCCTTATTACTTATCAAGTAAGATTCTCTGACAGTTCCTCGTTTCATGGCTGGCTATCAGACTGCTCCTCGCTCCTCCTCACAAGAACTTACCGCTTGCAGTGGAGGACGCACTTGGTGCAGGCTTGCGTCCTCCACTGCAAGCCTCGTCCATCCATCTCCAAAGAACACTCCGTCAAGACAAACATCTAAACCTGAATCATCTCAAGAACTCCCTGCAAAGAAACCAAATTCCCAGAGACCACAACACTTCTCCCCCTGGAGGAAACTCATCTTCCAACTAAGTAAGATAATTTCGTTTCTCAGAATCCAATCTGTCCGGTTTACCATCAACTTACCTGTTCTCTCCAATTACCCTCACTGTTCTGACAACCCCGGCTTCCCACCTGCAGGACAAGAACCACACATCTCACAATTTAATTTTTGTTCAAAATAAACTTTATTTATCTGATTTGTTAGTCTCCTGTTTGTGTTCTGTATGTGGGTCAATAGACTTGAACCCAACATGACAGTTTACTCTTTATTATGTCTATACAGCATATTGCCCAAAACTGGAAATTGAGCATAACCCAACTGCATTGAGAACTTAAACCTCTGCACATGGTGTGTGTGCTCTACCAACTGAGCCACACAGCAACTCCAGTGTATAGCCGTATTAGCCAATACTGGTTTATTTACTGTTAACAGATTAACAGTAAATTANCTCTGGAGTTTAATGGCGGCTGCTTGACCGACTATGAAAGCGCATTACTGCCACCAACTGGACTGGAGTGTTAAATGAAAGTTGACAGAAAAAAAATACATTCTAAAAAGTTATTTTTTCAGAAGTTACGTGACAGTATATTTTATTTTTATTATAATTAATTGCTAAAATGTTTTTTAATGTGTAGATGTTTATTTATTCAATTCTACTTTGAGCTGCCTCCTTTTTAGTTTATACAGAATATAATGATTCATCATCTGTGAGTTATATTTAGTGCTTAACTAACAAAACTTTTAAAAAAGAATACAAATGTTTATACCCTATCAGAAGGTATCACATACTTTCAACCATTTTGTTATTCAATTTAAACTCGAGAGTTAAGCAACTGAATACTGATAAATCATCTGTAGTTTCTTAAGTCCTGTATTGTGATGTGGAACGGTGTCACTACCACTCCAACATAGCATGACTCTGGGTCTTTAAAGCAATCAGTGAACAGTAACATTAGTTTGAATATTATTCACAAAAATACTTTATATACAATGAACCACTCTGGAACATGTTTTTTATTATTATTTTTGATTAAGTTGTGCAATTCCTCCCATCACAAGATAAATCTTCAGATGGGAGGAATGTCAAAGTAAGATCACGTTTCACTATAGTCTACTGTATGACTGTATGTATTCATGCATATTCTTTTATATCATCAATTCAACCAAACTAAGTTTTTCAGTGCTCCTAACACACATGTAAAATATATTTTAATGGATAAGATAGATTATTGTTTTAATATTAATATTAATATTCTAACCCTTCTCCAAACATACTTCTTCATGGCATACTTCTATAACTGAACAGACAGATGTCTCAAAATGTGTTAAACTGTTTGGCCCATTGCACTGCAACACCAACATGTATTTACATCTCCATTTGAAGGAGTACATGTTGGAATACAGGCTTTTTTCACACAGTATTTCAGTATTTGTGATTAAATACTGAGAATGTTTAATCACAAAGTCCAGATTAGGAGACAATTTCAGAAGAGTCAACAACAACTTAGTATGCCATGAACATCTGCCTGTGATACTATAATGACCAAAATTTTACATGTGCAAATGATTGGAACTTTGTCATGATGACACAACTGATGCTTTATGTAAAGCTCAGTGTTTTCACGCTGGCAGAAACACTTCTCTTGGAAATGTGTACAGCGGTGGCTCTGTCTGCATTCCACCACACAATCTTGGATGAGCTTGACAGACATGCAATGTTGACAATATATCATCAGATTTACCCTGAAAATTGTACTTTGATATGAACACTTAAGTGTTAAGGTTACATCCCTAAGTTGAGCTAAGTGTGGTCAAGCACTGGATGGTGAATGTCAAACTAAATCTGTTCCATTTTTGTGACTTTGTAACATTAGAACATTTTTGGCATTAATGCCTGTTTTATACTTAAATCTCATTATTTCTCAATTAATAACACTGAGGGGTTTTGACAACAGTCATAAATATTCATGAAGACTTATTCATGTTAATGACAGGTGTTATGTCATGTTTATTACAGTGTCATGAAACTCTTATTCACACCCTGTCAAATAAAGTGCTACCCATAATTTACCCAGTAATACTTTACATTTCTTGTCAACTTAACATCTTTTAATAAAAAAACATGGTGGGCCACCGGTGGACCGCCTCAGGGCCCTGACCATAGGGCTTAGCAAGTTTTCCGGGGGAAACCCTGAGTAACCAAGTGTCCAGCCTATTCATTATGCCAGGTATTCTATTTCAAAAAACAACTAATATTGAAGCTTTAGGAAAGTTAGAAAATGCTAAATAGCTAACACTAGTTCATTCAGTTGCTTAATTTATAAACTCGTAACAGAAAGAATCCTGTAAATGATTAACAGTCAACAGTCTTATCTAGAATGAGGAAAATGGTCATGCTTATCGGAAGTCCTTGAATTTTACTTGATATATTTTCAAGTTTATTTGACCTTATTCAAAGATTAAAGATGAATTTGAAGTTTCATTTTTTTTAATACAGCAGGTAAAATAAGTATTGAGGATATCATTTTTTTTTTTTACTAAACGTATTTCTAAATGTGGTATTAACATTTAATTTTCACCATGTGTTGGTAACAACCCAAGTAATCCATACATCAAAAGAAACCAAAGAGAGGTTTAGAAATTAAGTTATGTAAAATGTTTTTAACATGCTGCAGTATGTAACTTTTATAAAAAAAAAAAAAATTACACTTTTATTTGATAAATGGTCACTAGAATAGAATATACTTTATTGATGCCCAATGTAAAATTTCTTATTTGTTCACAAGCTACTCCATCCGGAGTGTTAACTAATAGTATAACCAATATTTGTGTGTGTGTGATATTGTAAGTAACTTAAATATGACCTTATTGTAAAATTAAAACAAGGATGTACATGGAAATACGTTAATCTATAAATAAATCCATAACTGAGTCGATAGAAAACTTAAATTTAAAGACACTCAGCATTGGACATTGTAAAGTCTATGCTATACCATATTACTGTATTATATAGCATATAGTCCTCAAGGTATTATATGAAGCAGAAAATCTGTGAAAAAAATCGAGCTCTTCCATCTCTTCCCTGTGCCCCTACTGCCCACTTCAGAAATGCACCGCAACTGGTCAAAAACAGCCAGTCAGAGCCAGGAGGAACATCTTAACGCTGTCAGTCACTCTTGTGGACACGCTGCTCAATGTGCTAACATGGAGAAACGGCTTACAGTTCCAGGAAAACTGTCTTTTTTCCTGTGTCATTTACATTATTGCACATTAATTAATTTCTGAACTGATTTTTTTTTGTTGGTTTCTTTCCATGTATGGATTTCTTGGGTCGTTAGCAACACTTGATGAAAATTTCATGTCAATAGCACCTCTAGAGATATATTTACATATTTAAATATGTTGTGACTAATACTTATTTTATCCACTGTAAATGCCAGTAATGTATAAACAGAGTACTTTGCATAGCTAAATTATGCGACACAAAATGCTTTGACCTTCTTTTACGATGCCTCTGTGTATGCAGATACAAGTATGCAGATCTCATTGAACCTTTTGCCCTATTACTAATATCTGTGGTGGCTTGTGATCAGTTCGTCTTTTAAACAAAATAAGTTTTTCTTCATTTTAAGCAAATGCACTTTGAGTAGAACCGAACATTTGGCTTCATTATTCAGGTAAATGAACCCCCTATACTACGAGGTATCTTCTATAGATCTGTGGACTGTTTAATTATCCACAGCTCAGAGTTTCATGTGTAAGACTTCGCTTTATCAATGTCCTTCCACTTAGAGATAATGTTTGTCTTGTAAAGACATTTTAAGGATATTTTTCCATTTATTCAAGTTTAAGGTACCATATATGCTGGTAGCATTCCGCTTATTCTTTTTTGTCCAGTATCCTAGAGTGTAGATAAACTGCAATGCTGTTGTACTTTAAGTATATATATATAGTTAATTATTTTATTGTAAATTGGGCGTCGTGTATTGAATTGACTGTACAACTATTTTTCTGAATCAGGCATGTTTGATAGTTGAGAACCATTGACCCACTTTCCCCCCCTTGCTGCTGAGAGGTGAACTCACACAAAGACTGAAGGGGTATAGTGATTTTTTAATTTTTTTTTTTATTTAATAAAAATTTTGAGTGGTATTAGAATTATGACAGATAAATAAATGCTGTAAATGTTTAAAATGTTTTATTAAAGTTAATTGACCAATGTTAACATTTCACTTGGACCACTTGCACTGTGGCTGACTACTTTAATCGTTCAATGTTGTAATTACATTTCAGGTGCAGTTGAGTATGTGTGTATAGTGTTAACCTGTGCATGGCCAGATATTTTTCTGTAACATTTGCAAAGAGACAGTTTGTTAGTTTTGATTTTACAACATGGATCAAAATGCTTGAGAATTTTTGATAATCAACAGAACATGTCATATAAATGTATGGAAACCAGACGGATGTATTTGAATTGTTACTTGGTCTTGCATTGCCTTATGCCTACAAACCCACTGGATGTGTTTTTCATTCTCTTCTTTCCCTTTCTAGTGCTGGTATCCAGTTAACATGGTTGGTAAACCTTAACCACATAATCTCAAATTATTTTTTGTCTCACATTTTAAGGTGTGAAGAAAAGCTCACTTCAAACATTGGTTTCATTAAAAACATCTGGCTAAGGCAGTGACGATGCTGTGAATGATGCCGTAATCGTGTGCTAATGCATGTAACTGAGCTAATAAGCTCATCTTCATTGAATAACTCATCTTCTTTGTCACCTGTGTGTGTATAGAGAGCTTCAAGAGTGCAGTTTCATGTGAATTCAGATTTAACTGCACTCAATCTATTTCGATTAGACCGAGGCCTAGTGCCTTTTTAAAACAACGTAATGGGGATATTTGTTTCTAAAAAATAACTTCATCCACAGACGATTGGTTTAAGAAAAGTGTTCATTCACACAGACCTGCTGAATTACACCACTTTTAAAATATGGCAAACCTATAACCCCCACAGAGTAATAAAATCCAAGATATAAAAAATATTATTTCAACCAAGGGAACAAATCCCATTTCATTATTGGGGAGGACCATAAACAGGGAAATTTATTAAGAGCAATTGTGGGGCTGTCGGCAAAGCTACAATGAAATGTAACGTAAAATGTGGTTTAAAATTCTTTGATTGTGTTCAAGCCTGCAGGACCAAAAATGACTGGTAAGTAACAATGCATATCAAATGTGTTTTTCTCAGTAAACAACCTGTTGAGACCCATAGAAGTCAAACTAAGATTCAAATGTTGATTAGATTTGAGTTTGGTTCAGTGTCACTGATCTAGTCTCTGCTACAACTTTATAAAAACTTAAGGCTCTGACTCAAAACAAGTATGAGTAACTCTTCATAAAATTCCTCATAAATATTGATTCATTGCATCATTCCATGTCCTGGATGGCTGAGAACCTATAAACATGTAGAAATTAAAGATCTGGGAAGTAACATAACTTAAACTTAATGGGATCCATGATTAATTATAAAAATAGACCTTATTTGGGAAATATTTATTTTAAATGTAAAAACAACACAGTAATACTACTGTAGGTTATTTAGTTTTTATAAATGTTAATAAAATATTTTCACAGGAATGTTGCCATGTTGTTCACGCTGCAATGCATTCTGGGTAAATGATGAGTAATGGTCCAACTGCCTGGCTCCTCCAGCCAAAACAGTGATGAGTAACGTTATGCCTTTTTAATTTGAACCAGAGTGCATTGAAAACGATCGGAACATAGAAATCAGAAGAAGTGATGATGATGAGGAGGAGGGCCAAACAGAGGAAGAGGACAGAGCTGGCCCTAAGAGCTGGTGTTTTGCTGCTGCCTTCAGCTTTGTAAGTGAAACAATGAACGACACTCACCTCTGGTCACTGTGTGATCCGGTAAGTACATCTATAGCTCTATGTCCGGTTGTTACCGAACCAACACTTTGTTTGATGCTGGTAGTGGTTTTACAGTAGAGGTCTTCTAGCTTCATTAGCATTTCCAATAGTAATAGCTCCATTAATGCTGCTTGTCTTTGACGTTTCTCCTAGCATCTGTAGGGCTGTGTCTGGTTCGGCAACATCTGTGCTCTGTAGAGTCTGGTGTGGTTTTAACGGCCACACCGGACTTTACCACCGACACTGGACCTCCATGGGTCCGGTCGGATCGATGATGTTAATACCGCTGGCAATACAGCTCCTGTTAGCATCTCAAAGAGCGTCCAGCTCTTCCTGTCTCAGCGGCAGCACTGTATTTATTTTTAGCTTGTTAAGGTAGCGATCACCTGTTAGAGCCTTCTAGTTTCCTGGTACATGAGTGTTGTGGAGAAATGTCCAGGATCCAGATTAGGTTCTTTGTTGTGTTCCACTCCAGCTCTCGCACTGCACTCTCCTTTCTTTCTGAGAGAAAGAGAAATGGTTAATTTCTGTGAGAAATTAACCAGATTTACCTCAATTTTTATTTTGATATTTTTAATTACAGCCAATAGTGACCAGTGATGGCATAGTTACTTTGAAAAAGTAACTTTAATCAGATTACTGACTACTCCTAGAAAAAGTAACTTAGTTAATTACTGATTACTTGATTTGGAAAGTAACTAAGTTACATTAAAAGTAACATTTTTAGTTACTTTCAGCAGCTGCTAACAACAACACTCCACCACCTGTGAAAATTACATTGATCTATGCCAAAACTTAATTGCAGGTATTTTATAATGGTAACGTCAACAATGTGTCTCCATTTATATGGTTGAACTGAAGGCGAGATTGGTTAATGGTTACAACAGTACAAAAATTTTTTTTAGTAATTTGTGTGTGCTTTTGTGTGCTCCACTGTCTGGAAAACTCTAAGAAGGATTTTAGAGTTCCCCCCTCCCGGCCCCAGCCTCCAGGTTCTGGGTTACGGCCCTGCGTTTGGTGTCATAGCGCACAGAGCTCCTCCTGCTGCAACTCAGATGGCTGTACAGATTTCTGACACTTATCTTAATATAATAATTATAATGGCGTTTAGTTGCACAACTTTGCGAACAGGTTCATTCGTGGATGTTTTCATGTTGTTCATATTAGCTCAACGTCATTCACAGCAAATATATTAACTTGATAAAGACACAGCGGGACGGATCATCCAAGAAAGAGGGAGAGTCTGACTAAAACTACCTGGATGACAGACAAATTCTGGGGTTTATGTTTGCTTATTTCCAAGCCCAAATAAGCAACTACACGTTTAAAAGCATTAAATTTGCAAGCAACTTTAGAAAAAAACAAGCCCAAAGCCGCTTACAATAATTGGACTTGGTGACAGAAACTCAAAATAGTTTCTGTTTTTCCAGCAACAAAGTGCGCACCTCCCTCCTCCCCTACATTGTCTACATTTCTGTCGCTGCTGATAATGTCGCATAGAAACGGCGGTTGCTCCCCAAGAGGAAATTAAATTAAATTACAAAGGAAAATAGTAACGCACAGTAACGCAAAGTGTTTTCGTTAAGTAACTGTAGTCTGACTACTGGATTTGAAATAGTAACACGTTAGATTACTCGTTACTGGAAAAAAATGGCCAAAAAGTGTTGCCAGCAGTCTGCAATAACAAATAAATTGCCATTAGGCTAACATACTATTATGGAGGACCAAAACTTACGTAATAAGAAATAAAAGCATAAATATAGTTTTTCCTTGTCCTTAGACATGAGTTTCCATCAAGAAATGTATACATTTTCTTTTTCATTTCCCCTAAACATGCGTTTTTGTCAAGAAAAGTAGATAAATTGTTTTGTCTTTTTCTTATACAAGCCCTCGTTCTTTTGTCATTGCCTCCTCTCCTTTTTCTGCTTCTCCGTGTGCATCTTTATGTTAATGAAGGGAGCTGCTTTCTATGTCAGCTCCTCTATTATTGGGCAATAGAGCTTTGAACCAACGTCACTGCGTCAGACGTTGAGGGGTGTTTACGTTTCGTGCAGTCGCTCGGTGCCATCTTTACAGGCCACAGTCCAAAACAAACTATATCCTGGTGGTTTTGTTGTGTTACTGACTGCAGTGAATTTAGTTTCGAGTTGGATATTGCATATTCCAATGTCCGCCGAGCAAGCGGCGTTTAGCTCAAGGTTGATCCGATTTATGAACGCTAATTTCTGCCAGCCGCTCTCCAGCTCCCTCCTCAGCACTCGGAGGTTCACTTAGGGCCTGTCAACAAATTTCCGAAAAGAACACTCCTGTCAAACAAATGTTAATAAATGCCTTGTGACCAACTGATACAAAAAAGTGGTAGTTCATGCTTTTACATGACACACACTACCCTCTATTAAAATGTCAACTCATATTCAATATTTTAAATAATTTTAATATTAAATGTTTTCTTCAATAGCTTCCATATTGTGTGCCATATTGACTAGAAATCAGTGTGTAATTGTACTAAACTGTATATATGAGGTATGCATTTTTATTCCATTTTAACTAATTTTTTTATTTTTGTTACCTATTTTTTTGTTTAAATTTAGTATTTCTCTTCATTAGCTTCTAGGGCAGGGATGGGCAGCAATGGTCCTGGAGGTCAGGTGTCCTGCAACTCTTAGTCGTTTCCCTGATCCAACACACTTGAATCCAACAGCTGAACCTCCAGTTCAGGAGGGTTCGGTGTTCTCCAATGTTTAGATGTCTCTGTGTTACAGGTCCCGGGTGTCAGGACTGCTGTAACAGTGATGACACACAATCTGAAGAGTAAATAAACAAAAGTCAGCAATGACGACCAAGTGCTGCTGTTGACATCCAGATTGCATTTGAGGCAAACCGGAAGTCCATCCCAAAACCAACCTGGAAGCAGGTCTGCTTTAACACATCCGACTCAAATCCTGAGGTCATTCTCAGGACCTCAAGCAGCCATTTGATTCAGGTGGCTTGGACTAGGAACATATGTAAATGATGCAGGACACCGAAATCGATGTCTGGATTTGAGGACCCCTGTTGTAGAGGGTCAGTGTGTTCCAGCAGCCGCTCCATCAGATCAGAGGGTTGATGAGATCTGAAAGGTCCTGATCCTCCAGTAAGTAAAATAACATGTGACCCCAATCCATCAGTCAGCTGCTCTGTCCTGTGTGTAAATATAAGGTCATTTATACATATAGAAATTCAATAAATTACAATTGAAAGGCAGTTTATTTGACTAAATTATATTCACTTAGTGAATAAAGTAAAAGGCATATCAGAATATTTTACACACTACAAAAATATTATCAATCGGCAACGTGACTTTAGAATTTGATTGGAACCTGTTAGGCAGAACAGATACTGTAAGAACCACCGTAGAGATCATTTTCATGGACTGAATATACTTTCTTAAAGTGTGACATTAAAAATACAAGGACTTGGCTACCAACAGCTAAAGTAGCATCACTCACATGGACACTGGCTCCTGCTGACAGAAAAAGGACAGAGTATCAAACTACTAGAAATTATTTCAAATTACTAGATGTTCCATTATAATTGGAGAGCAAAGCGTGGAGGTTTAACTTGTACTGACTTGTGAGGGCAGACCACCGGGACGCTCCATGTTGTATGATGGCCTGTTTTTCCAGCCAACGAACCATTCCACCACCTTGTGGTCGTTCTTTTAAACCATGTAATCTCAACTGTACGGCTGAAAAATGCACAATATGT